CTCTTCCTGTCCACACCATAATAAAACAGTTTGTATCCCCCTCCAATGCTACGCGCTTTGCTACCCTTCCACCTGGTCTCCTGCAGACACAGTATATCTACCTTCCTTCTCTCCATCATGTCCGCCAGCTCTCTACCTTTCCCTGTCATTGTGCCAACGCTGAGTCCCTGTTCTCAGACCTATACTCCAGCCTTTCCTCTTCTCTCTCTGTCTACAAATTCTTCTGCCTCCTCTCCTTCTTCGACCAACAGTAGTCCAATTTCCGCCAGCACCCTGTAGGTCAAAAGCACTGGTGGTGGTCATTGTTAATCCAGGCCTCGGCCGATCCAGTACGGAATTCACACTGATGATTCACATGTTTAAATTTGGCAAGTCTTTATGCCAGATGCCCTTCCTGACGCCAACCCTCTCTATTTATCTGGGCTTGGGACCAGCACAGAAATCACTGGCTTGCAACAGCTGTGGCTAGATTAGTTTTTCACTGATACCGATTTGTCTAATTCTTTTTTCCCAAATGCACCTTAAGTAATCAGTGCCATTGTTTGTAAAGGTCTTGAGAATCTGGTTAAAGTTGCTGACATATTTGTGCCCCTTTGCCTGGGCTATGTATTGTTCAGTGTTTAAAGGACGTTAGAATTGGCCCACTTATGAAATCTTTCACACAAGAAAGCCCTGTTGTGTCCATGGATGGATTCAGGAGGTGGCACTGGCCACCACCAGAATCTGATTGGCCAATGCTGGTGCCACCCTCTGTGCCACCCCTGGTGCCACTCCTGCCTGCACTGTCCTAACCCTATCCCTCCCAGGCTGAGAGTAAATAAAGGAGCGCAGCTAAAGATAGTTAGCTAAAGAAAGCATATACGTGTCTCATTCTTACACAAAACTTGATTTGTTCCTTAATAATGTGTTGTTTATTATTTCATAGAACTAGGGGTTTTAAAAACTTTTGACATATATTTCAAATGTGCCAGCCCTCCCTGGGTCGTTGCCCCAACCTTGGAAAAATTCATTTTGAAATTAGCAGGAGTGATAGACTGGTGACCTGTCCAGGGTGCACCCCGCCTCTCACCCAATGTCAGTTGGGATTGGCTCCAGCCCCTCAACAACCCCCTTTAACAATTAGTCATTCAATTGAGTTGGTCAAACCAAATAGGACAAATATTTGTCTATTTCCTTACATTTTATAAACCAAACAATAATTGATTAATCGGTAAAAGTTTACTAAACATCAGGTTTTATAAACTCAAGCTTGCTGTTAGGCACGGACACCTCACAGAAAATGATCTAAATACTCTGTTCAGAGTCATTAGCCCAATCTACCATCCATATAATGTCAACTTAATTTGGTATCTGTCTGCAAAGATACCAGAAATGTGAGCACTTCTAAACAGGCTGTACCAAGTACATGTAATTCTATCAAAACACTGCAGATTATGTCTAAATTGGTGTTAGGCTTCAGCTGGCAACGTGGCATAATGTTCTCTCCCTTGTGAACACAGAGCAGCATACATCAGGTGTGATACTGGAGGATCTGTGGCTGCATGTGAAAATGGGACAGACAGCCTGACACACTGTCATATTGCTCAGCCCCATTTTCACAACTGTTAGGAGGCAGAGAATCATACGTGTGTTTTCCACCACATGAACTTAAAAAGGCATTATGCCAGTAGCTGAGACATGATGCCACTGTTGTTTAACCAGTCATGGGCGCAAGCCCTGTGAGCACCCACCCGCTCCCCTCATGAGTTCCTGGAACTTGATTGGTACTATCTCCTAAATATAAAGGTATGTGTCAATCAAGTTATATGCAAGAACAGGTTTAATGATTAATTAGATGGAACATTGTGGGTGTGGTGTATGAATGTTAAAGATATTTATGACAGTAAAAACCGATTTTTGCAAAATCATGCCAGAAGCTTTGAATATTATTTTGCACTATACTGTTAATAGGTTAACATAAATAGATTTATTCAATAATGAAACATAATAAAACAATGTCACAGATCTTATTTGTATATGATACATTTGTGAAACAGCTACTAATATTATTCCTCTTGAAATAGAAAAAATGACTGTCCAATGTATTAATTAGTTTATCCATCCATCCATCCATTTTCCTCCGCTCTAATTAATTAGTTTATAACATTTCAAAAGAAAAACTATTACCATGGTGCAAAGCAAAGGTTGCTGGAGGTATGGTATAAAAAGGAAATGTATAGAAGTAAAAATGTAACAGTAAGGACCCATGGATAATTGCACATTGACTGTTGACTGCTGCACATGCTGCTCCCATGCAGCATACATTCTCTAGTATATTCTTATATATTTTTATTTTATTGCTGCATTTGCTGCTTAAAGTGTCTTAGATTTTGTGTTCCTTGTTTATATACTTTATATTTCATTTGTATTTTTGTGGCATTCATGTGGACGGCAAAGTAAGAATTTCATTGTACAGGGAAATACGTTTCCTAACTGTGCATATGACAAATAAACACTTTGACTTGACTTGACTCATTTTTACACAAAAACTGATTTGTTCCTTAATAATGTGTTGTTTATTTTTTCATAGAACTAGGGGTTTTAAAAACTTTTGACATATATTTCAAATGTGCCAGCCCTCCCTGGGTCTGTGCCCCAACCTGGCCACCCCTTCCAAAATATTCTAATGTTTGTGGCCCAAACCTCAAATCCAATGTCCATTACCCCAGGTATTTTTGCATATTTAGAGGAAACCGATGTCATTTTAGATTGGGCCCTCCAGGTGTCTCACTGCCCTCCATGCTTGAACAGTGTAACTTATGAGTGGACTCCAGCTGGGATTACTAATATTCCTCATATACTTTATATATAATGGGTCTTTAGATTCCACACTGTCTATGTCATTTCACAGAGAGTTGCTGTCCTCATAAATCCACTTTGCAACTGAGCTTTGCAACTTGATCTTTTTAAGATCAGGGAGACCTAGGCCACTTCTATTGATTCCACATAGCACAGATAGTTTAAGTTGTGGTGTTTTCCTGTCTCACCCAATGTCATTTGGGATTGGCTCCAGCCCCTCAACAACCCTCTTCAGGACAAGCGGTATAGATAATGGATTGATGATGGATTTAGTCTGAGCAAAGATTCCAGCAGCAAGCTGCTCCAGTTTAATCAAGGTCCCATCTAATATTTTCAGTGCAGTGACTCCTTCTGATTGTTTCTCCCTCATCAGGGGGCTGTGAAGGAGTACAAGGCCATGGCCTCCTGGTTCAGCTGGAATGAGCCTTATTACCGAAGCCGCTGCCGGGACCCAGCCAATGTGGTCACCGACACCCTGATGCTGGAGTTCAGCTGGCAGCTGAAGGAGGCAGAGAGAGAGGGAGGAGTACCGACGCCTCAAGACCGGAGTGGACTACAGCTGGCTGGCGAGCACGCCTCGCTCCTCCTACAACATCAGCATTGGGGAAAGGCTCAGCCTGGAGGGCCTCTGCTTCAAGGTGCCGCCATCCTGCTGTAGTTTCGTCATACTCAAGTAAGGAGCCATTGAACTGACACAATAGTAGAGGAATATTACTGGAACTAAAGCCTGAAATGTTGCAGACAGACACACTAAGCGTTATCTTTGGCTCGACCCCCCCACCCACCGGAAAGCTCAGTACGGACTTTCCAGCATTTTCTTGATACCTGTTATTCTAGCTCTGACCTTGGATTGTTTTTTGACCACCAATTACTGCCTTACCCTTGTTAGAAATTCACCCAATTCTTTTGTTGAAAGCAGAAGTGAAGACACTGTTTAAAATTAACAGAAAGTTTACTGAAAGTCTGAGCACAGGTAGGTCTTACAGCGCTGGGATCAGAGAGATAGAGCTCCTGCAGGAATTCCATTCTCTGAACCCCAAATTAAGTTCTTACAATACATTTTATCTTCTTGGGCTGCTCCGCCCTGGACAGGGGTGCAACCTTCAATAGTTTGCGATCCTATTGGTCATTTGGTGTGAGCCAGAGTTCGCACTTCCATGTTGAAATATGGTCAATCTAGGTATATGTGTGTGTGTGTGTCTCAGGTGGCAGTTTGGTCTCGATCAATGGGCCCCAAACTGGGTGGCCTGAGTTGCAGGCCCCCTGTGTGTGTGATGCTAATAAGTATGCAAAACTGGCCAGGTGGTCATCTCAGGTTGTAGCCCCCGGCCTCTGCAGGACACCCCAAGACAAAGCAGGACTGGGGATATGATAAGTGGGTCGAGGTGTGAGTGTAAAAACAGGCCAACAGGTCTCTATTAAAATGTAAATAGACTGTCTGGTTACAAAGAGATGCAGGCATCTAGTGTCTACAGAAGTTACAGCATTCAAAGTAAGCAGATTCTGCTTCATTACCATTGTAAGATATATAAGCAAGGAAAATAAATGTATTAAAAATAACCACAGCTCAGTAGTTCTGGACAATCATCAATACAGCTGTAATATGTATAAACAAGAAAAATAAATTTATGAAAGGTAACTAAAGTTATGAAAAGTAACTAAAGGGAACTAAAGGTATGAGAAGTAACTAAAGCTTATAAAGTAACAAGAGTCTATAAGACTCAAATCTTACACCCTCCTGCTTCTGATCGTGTACTGTGTTTCGACCTCTGGACTTCCCCTTCTGACCAATCTTTTGTGGATACCTCGGCTGTGTACGTTTGCTGGCTCTGACCCTAGACTGTATTATCAACCCGAGTGTGTTTTCTGGACTCCTGCATTGTATTCTTTTTATCTTGACCAGCATCTCAGTAAGGAAATTGGTTTCTGCTCGTCTGGCATTGTAATTGAGTTCACCATCGACATCATCAGCAGCTTTACATTCCGATTCCTGACAACAGAGACCATGTGGAGGGAGCATGGTTTTGTGATTTTAATGAGCTGTGTGAGTTGTCTTATAAAAAGCAGTTCTCGCCACTTTAAAGAAAAATTTGAATTTCACCTTATGAACAAGTTTTCCAGTCATTTTTTGTAGAAGGGTCTAATAGAGGAGGCACTATGCAACAACAATAAAAAAGAGAAATATTCTGTGAGCTCTTTTGCCTGTTCTTCCACTATGGAAGAAAATAAACTGACAATCTCTGCACCCATGTGGTTACTGTATCATTTCTCATCACCTGTTTTGCTTTGTACAGGTTCAGGGAAGCCATGCAGGCCAGTGAACCTGAGGTGGAGGAGGTGTCGGGCCTGTTCCGCTCTGTCCTCCTGGAGGCTCTGGACCACCTGAAGGAGGAGCAGGAGGCACAGCAGCTCGCCCACCAATGGAACAACAGATGTCCCAAGAGCATGTCCCTCAAGAATTTCAGGTCTTGGATCAAGATCAATCCGTTTGGAAGCACAGTGGGCCTGACCTCTGCTGTGGCTGACGGGGTAGGGCTGAGTGACCTTAAAACTGTGTCAGAGAATGTGGAAAAAGGGATGGAGAGTGAGGAGAGGTCACAGAGGGTGTGGAGCATTCCCGAATTCAGCTACAAAGGGGACAGCAGCAGCAAGGTTGCCTGATGTGGGGCACCGGTGGAACGTTTCAGTGGGACATATACTGATCTCCCCAGGACTCTGCTGCTGTATGCTCACTTTCCACCAGGTGAGGGAGGATAAATGCCATCCTTCCCTGTTGGAAACCACTCAGCATTTGTTCCATTTATCTTTTCATCTGCAAGTGTAATGGCAGGTGTTTTTCCTAAATGTTTTTCAACATTGTTTTTACTTGAAAGGGTTTTCCTTTCAAAGAGATTATTTATGTAATTCAAAGAGCCCATGCCATCCTTTTCCTTATTCTTTTACTTATCAACAATGTTAAAATTGTGAATTATCATCTTAGATCGGACCTAAAGCTCATAAAATGAAATGTACTGCATATATGTTCTACTACTTCTGTGTAGAAGCAACTCTGTTTATACACATCACAAACTTTCACTCACAACACTTTTTTCTAATAAAATTAAGTATTTCTTGTTTTAGGATCTTCCTTGAACAGTCTTTATCTCCAGGCAGTAGCGACATAACATGAGTTCGCCTGACATCTAGCAACATCACATGAGCTTGCCTGACATCCACCGGTGCCATTGTAAAAATGGAATTTTGAGACTGTGTTTTGTAGATAGCAGCCTACTCACTCTTTTGACTGTCTTCCTTGAGTCACTCGGTCCTCTGGATGTCAAGAAATCGACCGGAGAGAGCCTCCGGCTGCAACCGTGGAAGGACTCCCTCGTCAGTAGACTCAGTCCTTCCATCCAACCAGATGCCACAGTTTGCACTTAATACCTTTTTTGGCCTGCACACTGCTGTTCTTCAGAACTCATTTGCATATTGCGTTCAGTATTCTTGTAACTGTTCATGACTGCTTTTGACCAGTTACGTCCAGCCTCGGATTCTACTTCCCCTTTCTTAGAAAACTTATCATCTTAATACTTAATAAAATATAGAAAACCCACATCTGCTTGAAATACAAAAATTCCCATTATTGCTTTCAACGGAACAATCAGAATTACACACAGATTTTTTACAAAAATATCAATGCCTTAAAATTAAAACATGGATCTTTATAGTTTGAATACTATACTTGACTAAACATTGATCATTGATTAGACATTGATTAAACAGTATTTATCAATCAAATCTTTACTTTCTACATGGAACATGATTTTTTATTACTTTCTCAGTGTCTTTCTAATTTTTCATTACACTCCTCTCTCTGTCACACACACACACAATTTCACTTCCCCTATTCAGGGATGTGTGTCTTACTTCCTCTTTTCTCTGACTCAGCATTCTCCACTCTTTGTGATGAGATTGGATATAAAAGCACTTTTCACCACTCCATGCAATACAATCATTTTAAATTTTATTCTTACACATTCACTAATGATTTTTTCAAATAAAACACACATAAATCATCTCATGATTATCCTTACTTATTACTTTATGCATTCTGCCATAGCATTTTAACAATTTTTCTCTCTCTCAACTCCTCTTGCTGCTTCTTGTACACATCCTTGCTGTTCTTCTGACTGAAAAAAGACAATTTGTTCAATAGTCTCCTGCAGCCCTTATTCTAAGGTTTCTGATGCCAGATCATCCGAGGCCAGTTCTGCTGTTAAGGTCTGAGGTCTGTTTCTTTGTCTCCTTGGCTCTCTCTTGGACCTGTTTTTACAGGCTTGCTGACACTGGGTGGCATGAATGGAGTGGTTGGAAACCTACAGGCAGCCGGCCAATGAAGCACCTTGGGGTGGTGAATGATCAGCTCATCGACGCTGGATTCCCCTGGAGCACAGTACTTGTTTGTTTTGACTGCGTGAGGCCAGTGTGTCTGTCACATATGATATTTTGCTGGTCAAGAAGTAGATTAATGACCCATGATGTTACTGTCGGCACTTCACTACCTGTAGGAATTGATTTCACTACCTTGGAACTGTATGTGGTCGTGTGGAGGAGACACAGCTACCACTGGTTGGATTTACCAACCTTGGAGCCGCTTGAAAGAGAGCGATGTTTCGACTACCTGGTGGGACTTAACAGTAAGTTTAAAAAAAACACATGTTAATGCGTTGTCTGTCTGCACTATGCCAAGTAAAATATAGGATATAGGGTTTCACAATTACCTGCTTTATTTAGAGTGGTACACATCTCTTTTCATGGGTACATAAACTGTTGTTTACCTATGGAGGAGAAATTGAAATGAATTAATGCTGTTGCAGTTTGTTGTGCTGTCCACTTGCGACACAACACTGGCAACAGGAGTCCTGCTCATTCACAAACTATCCTCTTGTTTTTAGGAAGAGGCTCTCTGGTTTTATCATTCTGAAATAATTACACACTATTTGGAGTTGTAAGGGGTGCCAAGCTAATCTAGAGGTACCCAAGATTAAATATTAAATGGCTGGAAATGAGCAAAATGAGCATCCATGGGCACTTGAAAGGCTTTCTTGTTGCAAGAGAAAATAGTTGTGCAACATCACACAACCAAACTGTCCTGATGTGAATGAACATTTGACCAGGGGTTCTCCATTAGATTTCTGTAGAGATGTTACTTATCGTCTCTTACTTAAACCAAGTTATCAATAATCAGTGTTCACATTAACGTCATGCTCTCCACAGGCTGCACAGCACAAGGACTCAGCACAGTAGTTTATCATTCATGGTCAGTTAACCATAAGCTTTGATTTTATGTTCTTCATTCAGAGGTGGGGGGAAGCAGAGATATTGTTGAGAGAAACATTTCAAAGTAAAATCTTTCCTGCCTTTTATTACTGTTTCTGTTCTGTCTGTACAGGACACACTGTGTTTACCCAATCGGTCATATAAAGCTTTGAACTGACCAAATGTAGTTAAACTACATTTAATTACATATAGTTAACTATTCCTAAATAGTGAATACAGTCTAGTTTTAAGCTGAAACACTCAAGTACTTCAATATAGTACCTGCATAAATATATTTAGTCGTTTGTTGTAAACGGTGGTTCGGTTCTATCTTGAAAATGAAAATCAGTGTATTTCAAACTGGGATTGTCACCTTGTGTAAGAGGAAGTCGCCTTATTTGGCCTCCTGTTAAATCCTGGCAGCCTCCATTGATATACATACAGTAAAACTGTTTAAATCTTGGACACATTCTATAAAGATTAAACACTGTTGTTACTAGTCTTTATTATTAGTCACAGCCAGCAGGTGTGGCTTCAAACTGTGGCTGACATGGCTGTAGAATGAACCTTTCCTTCCCACTTCTGCCAAGTCCACCATGTCAAGTATGTTCTCCTTCCTCACACACAGCATCTGCAGACATTGCTTGTCCAGACAGGTGCTGTGCTAAAGTAAATTTCCTCCTTATTCTCCACTGATTACAGAAAAAAGTCAAAGTGCTTCAAGTACCAAATCAGAGGAAGTACTTTTTATTTTCCTAAAAGTTCAAAGACATGACAGTTTTGGGTTGTGGTCTAGGCAACCAAGTTGAGAAAACACAACATAAAACAAGATTTGCTGATGAGTATCTTTAATGAAATTGACTGAATCAGAGAAAATGTGGACACAAGGCATTTAAATGATCTCTGTGGTGCACTTGCAGGAGGCGAGACACCAAGAGGCCACATCCTTGTTCCTGCAGAGCCCCTGCTGCTTCAGATCAGGCAGGTAGGGTACTGATCAGAGTAGGGACAGGGGATAGCTGGGAGAGAGCGAGAATAGGAGAACATTAATGGCAGAATGTTATATTTCATTTTATGAGAAAATAGAGTTCCCCTAGTATTATTAATGTTTTTGTTGGAGTCTCCCCTTGACTTAGAAATACACTGTAATGCGCTCCCCACAATATTTATGGCGACCATTTATTTATTTATGGTTTTAGATGTGTAGACCTTCAGCTTTAGTTCAAGGAACTTCACAAAAACATTGCCCTATCCATTTAGGAATTGCAGCCATGTTTATACATAGTGCCCATTTTCAGAAGCTCAAAAGTAACTGGACAAACTATAAAACAATATAATTATGTATAAATATATACAATTGTTAATTTTAATATTTGGAAGGAAATCCTTGTCAGTCAACGACTGCCTGATGTCTGGAAGCCCTTAAATTAAAGCTGAAAGTCTACACTTCTAAAACCTATTGACTACTTCATTTCAAATCCAGTGCACTGGTGTACAGAGGCAAAAGTACAAACATTATGTCCTTGTTCAAATACTTATAGACCTGATTGTATGGCTGGTGCTGACAATCAGAGCAGTTAGTAAGACTGGCGATAATTTGGGAACTTTGGTTAACGCCAAGTTTAATTTAAGCACCACGCGATAGTGAACGTGTGCTTGCATGTTAGTGAGCTGTGGCAGCTGGGTAGGCACCTCGACGTTGTGAGGGTCCTGATGCTGTCAGGTCAGGGAGTGAGAGGGACAGAGTGGAGTCTCTGCACCAAATCTACTTCTACTTCCAAAGGGTGGAGGCTACTTTTAAAAGGTACCATTTGTTTTAGCAAGCTGACCAATGGGGAGCAGTTTTCCCAAAGGAGAACCTAGACACGCCCGAGGGGGAGTGCGGTTCTCTCTGGCCACATGTTTTGCAGATTTTCTATCTTTTAGATCAGTTTGTCAAACTGGAAAACTGTACATTTTTGCAGCATACTGATCACAGATGTGAAGTTCCAACGATTAAAATAAATATTATATGTATATTCATATAATCTAACATTCAAACTTATTAGATCATATGGTGACCTTCTACATAAAGGGACAAGATCCCATTCTGTGCATGTGTAGAGTGGTTTGAAAAACTGTGGGGGTTAAGACAGTGGCCCTCGGTGCTTTCCCAAACTTGTGTTTCAACTCACATGTTGATCCTTGAGCTCTTTTAGGTGCGAATCATGTCACAGTGTTGCTAGTGTTGCCATTTGCTCATAGACTTGTACTCCACTAAATGACTTTAGGTCAGGGCATAATAAAGCAGTATAACAGAATAATACTTGGCACTAGTACTTCATCATGGTCTGAAATGTACTAAAACTATGATACTTATATAACATAGTTACTTTCAGGTAGTTTTTCACTCGACATATAGTATTACACTTAAAAAGGCTTGAATCTAGTAAAATTAATGTAGACATAAACAGTGATTTAAGGTGAGAAAACACATTTTGCTTAGACATTTCATCAATAAATGAGACATCTAGATTGCAAAATGTTTGCACTTACACTGGGCAGAACAGGCAGACATAGAAGTACTTGTATTCAGAATTCGCACAGTAGGACCTGCCACAGCCAACCTTGGTGGACGTGTACCAAAGAGCCTGAGCAGAGACACAGAGTACAAATCATGAGAATCATAGATCCACATGTGATGGTAAATCTGTTTTTAAAATTCTCAAAAATGCACCAAAAATGTTTATAAAGAAACTGTGAATATAGCTCTACCTGGCTGAGGTTTTCGACCAATTC